CGAGTAGGGCAACGAGGAATTGCCTCCTCCATGGCAGCTTGAACAGTAGCATTTAGGCTGGCAACTGCATCATCAGCGGAAGTAGCTCCATATACTCCTCACCAATCACACGCAGATAGGGTGTTGTAAAGCAGAGTATAATTGCCGGCAGCGAATTTTCGATGGCTGAATTTATAATCGGGATTATAGGTAATACGTGGAATGTGGACATCAATAATTAGGGGAGGGTGATATGGATCAGGCTTGACCAAATCAGAGTAAGAAAGACCAGGCTTTAGATCCGTGAGATTAGAGAAGACTAAGACAAGTAAGTTATGGTTGTCAACACCTACAGCATACTGCCGAAGGCCAAGGAGACATGCGGAGGTGTATATAGCATCCCCCTTAAGTTTAGCATAGTAGTGACAGTTGGGCAGAGGTGACCCACGCACCCACTTAAAACCAGGAACATTGAAGTCTCCTAATAAAACAACACGAAAGCTATTTGTGTCAAGCATATTTTCAAGAAGGTGAAAATAATCAATAATGTAATCAGCCATGATTAAATGGATGTCGAGCAGCCTCCATCTACCTCGTCGTTACCTGCTGGGTTAACGGCAGATTTAACGGAAGCATCAGACACTCCAGCTTCGGATGTGCTGGGGGTAAATACTTGGTCAGCCGCAAGCTTACCATAATACGGGGCAATTAAGCATCCTGAAGGCCAGACACCAACGTCATTGATTAGCGAAAATTCATCCTCAGTAACAGTAATATGGAAGGATGCATAAGTGTTAAATTTAGTTCTAAGTCTGGTGCAGACCAACTTTTTAAGGCTTAATTGCTCCTTGAGGGACTTGTGTACATCATCAGCAGTGACCTCGGGGCTAAATCTAGAAACAAAAAGTGCCTTCGTCCTTTCCTTCTTCGCAATGACAGGCAGGGATGGAGAATTACGAACCCCAATAAGCGGCTGCCTGCGATGTCTGACAGTGCTGACTGCGGCTATATCTGCAGGGGGGGCTTGGCTTGGGTCTTCATTTTGTACTTGACAGTTTTAAAGCCTTCGGCATCAGCGGGCGAACTTCCGGTTGCTACAACATCCCTGTATGACAATCCAGCCAAGGTCGCAGTAGCAGGTACAGCAGGTAGAGTAGAAACAGACAGGGTCGCGATGCTAGGGGCACTTAACGGTATAAGTTGAGTAGTGACCGTGTCCTTGGTTACCGTAGGCGGAACGTGTAGTTCACTTGCAGTTTTGAAGGCATAGATAAAGATGATCCTTTCATTTTGTGTTATGGACAATAAAATCACCAAGGAATCCCTCAGAACTCATTTGAAGACTGATGAGTCCAGAAATATCATGGCTAACTGCTACAATAAAAGCGATGCTTTCGTTTTGTGGTACAGCTGAAAAAGTTGCAAGTCTACAATTTTGCTTGCATTTCTCATGTGTTCCAAACGTACGCCTGGTATTCATATCTCGCACTTCTTCTCTTAAATAATAAACTGAAGAGTAAATAGTGGACGTACAAATTATTGTCAGTCATTACGCATAAAAACATAATACAAATGAGCGAGATATCTCATTCATATTAATACGGTATCATCTTAATACATTCGATAAAATTTGTTGCCAGCTTACAAATCTCGTATGAAAAAATAAAAGATGGAAACATTTTGAAGAAATACGTTTTGACCAAATTAAGAGAAATAAAATCGGTGCTATTTTTTCCCTAAAATAATGCTTTCCAATACTCTAAAGCTCGGTTTTAACCTCAAGATCGAAACATATAATGCACTGATAAATATGCGACTTGACTTCCGACAATTGTGTCGGTATGCTTAAATTATTTGCCGGTACACGTACCGGTTCATACCGCCTGAAAGAGGCACCGCAAAATGCATCGACAAATTAATTTTGAACAAATATATTTTATAAAAGTTTTTGAGTAAACCGAATAATTAAACTACTGTGAAGTCAATTTTGTTCAAGTTACGATGCATAATCATTAAATGCACTATGAAGAAATTTATTTTCTACAAGCCACGAAGGATACGAGATCGAAAATTTCCCCATAGCGGGTTTTTTTATTACTATTTAGTAATCTTACGTGCGGCTAGTCTATAAAAGAAATTTTAGAAAAATACAGTAATCTATTCGATAAGACAAGCAAAATTCGTATTTATCAACAAGTAAAAAATGCACAATATCAGTTTTCATCGAAATGTTTAGGACATTTATGAACCCATTTTGAAAGGCCAATTTATGACCAGTACAACAAAGTATACTTTGAAAATCTAAACAGTTGACTAACGTTATGAGAAGATTTCTTGTATCAAGTTTAACCGAAAATTGACTAACGATTTATGATATACATGAAAAAGTCCATTCGTGGCCACATGTAAAATAGGGGCATCAATATGGCTGAAAATTAGAATTGCTAGACAAATGTTAATGAAGATATCATGTGCAGAATTAAAAATGATCTTCCCACAGAATTGTGGGCTTATAATATGTAATGATCACTATAGGAATAATTCCTTTTATTCATTGGAGTGATATTCTGGAAAGAAGGACGAGGAAGATTCTGAAGAAATATATTTCGTCAAATTGCCAAGGTAAAATGGAAGTTTAAGTAGAATTTACATTTTCACGTTTTATGAAATCAAGTGTTATAAAATTAAACATTAAACCTTAAACAGATTTTGATCGTTTGTTCAAGACATGGAAAATAAATCAACCCGTTACATGAGGTTTAGATTGTTGCTATACTGTGTCTAAAACATCTTTAAAGGTGCGTCATCATTAAATAGTGAGGTAGGACGTTACGTCATTAGAAACCTACTACGTTAATTTTTCAATATTTGGAACAAAAAACGCCATAATTGTAATCTTGAAAAACAGAGGAATTTTTTCCCCAAATTTGCCTCTCCTCTTGTTATGACGTCCTTTCAAAGATGTTTCAGACAGACAACATGAGAAATGTTGTAACCTCAAAGTATTTTAGGTGCTTACTGACAAAAATCTATTTCTATGAAAGTTTATGTTAATGCAGTTTCTGTATCCTTAGATATGGCTATTTGCTGCAATTCTGGCAACGCTGTTCCAACTTTGCTTCGCAGAAGACAATTCCAATAGTAAAACTGATATTGCCCCTAAAACATCAACAACAGAAGTCCAACGCCCGAAAAGGCAAGGTAAAACAAGATTTAGATGCGTTTCTATAAATGAATCTCTGGGTTCTGTGTATACATATATAATTACGCAGAAATTGATTTGGAATCAGAATCGGATGAAATTGAATGAAGAACACGGCTTTAGAGCAGAATCAACAGTGAAATGATAACTGTATTATAGGTAATAAAACTTTTGAAAATATTAAAAAATATGCACTTCTGGGAAGGAGCCGGGGTAGTGTAGTTGGTACAGAGACTGCCTACGAGCTGGACGGCCGAAGGGTCGGGGTTCGAGTCTCAGTTACGCCAGTATTTACACCTGAAATTAAGAAAATTTTGCAACGGCAGAAACGATTTTGACCAGCATATGTTATGAAGAAGATTATTACAATGCTGGCTTGTGAATTTGTTGCTATAAAAATAGGAGGCTGAGAAAACTCCATACTGAGGATCTTCATAGCTTATTTTTTCTTCTTTTTTTTCCTTTTTCTTTTTTCTCTCTCTCTTTGGCTCTTCATCACCTTGGATTTTGGCTGCTTTATCAGTTTCTTAATCCCATACACAGTCAGTAGGACTTCTTGGACCGGGGATCAGCCAGTCGCTACGCCGTTACCTACACACAGAACAACATAAACACAGAATAAACGCACACAGACATACATGCCTCTACTGGGATTCGAACCCACGGCACCAGTGTTCGAGCTGGAGAAAGATGGTTCATACATATCTCAGACCTCGAGGACACTGTGATCGGCCTTCCTTGCTTATACTCCTTGCCAAATACACTTTGAATGACCAAGTCATGAAGGGCAAAAAGAACAGGGCATGTAGGATGCATATGAAAGAATGGGAGTGCATTGGAGTGTTTTGGTACGAAAAACTGAAGGCAAAGACCAGTGGGGAGACATCAACGTAAACGGGAGGATAAACAGGATACCAGTGAAACCAGATGCAGAAGTATGGACGATATTAATCCGGTTCAGGATGGGGACAAGTAGAGGGCTGTTGCGAACATGATAATAAATTTCGGGTTCCGTAAAATGTTGGGAATTCTTCAGGTGGCTGAGCAACTAATGGCTTCTCAAGAAGGGTTTAGCCACTTGTTTTGTTTGGTGTGAAATGTGATCTCTTATTGTGATGGAAAAACAAATTATAAGTGTCCGAAGACGCAGTACTCAAGATAAAGTTTGGTCCCATTAAGGAAGTTGTGAGTAAACGTAATTGCTTCAGTCTATAACCATTGTATCCACTTGTATACACCACTCGGAACTATACTTTACAAATCATTGACACACACAGACTAGTGTCCTCAGTCTATTACAGTCTCCACTAGCCGATTCCTGGCAATGGCTTTTACCGAGAGAAAGCGTTCAAGTGACTAGATTGCCGTTGTAGCGGAAGATACTAGAAATAGAGCAAAATCTGCTGTATTGAGCCTGGGCTGACAGAGGCCCTGTTTATTGTACATATACATTTTTAACATGTTTAACATGTAAAATGTAAACATCTTTTACATTATGACAAATGACTTACTGCTGCAGACAATGACTCTGACAAAAGCCCTCGTCAGAGAGGGCGCCCCACAAAAGCAAGACCATTACTGTCAAACAGTAATAAATAACTAGTCATGATGCCCAGATGGGGCTTGACACCAAGATTGACTGACTGACCGTCCGCCAGTCGTAATATGACTTTGACTTTGACACAGAGTTAGTTGTTGACGAGAACTGGGGCGACTTCTGGAGATGGCAGTTGAAGGTGATTGAGAAGAAAGGGCAAGAAACAAATTAGACTGTGCAAAGAAAACTTCATGCGCGATTTGAAGTTACNCAGTCTGCTTTACCGTTTCTCACGGTGTTGTCGCTTGCAGATTTCTTATACTTTTTCTTCTACCCTGAAGATGGGGGCGATACGTTCCTCCGAACCGTGAGTCTGCTTTACCGTTTCTCACGGTGTTGTCGCTTGCAGATTTCTTATACTTTTTCTTCTACCCTGAAGATGGGGGCGATACGTTCCTCCGAAACGTCGGTTAACACCACATATACACGGTGCCAAATCCCAGAAGACTGCTTTCTTCGTAATTGCTTCAGTCTAAAACCGCGATGTGATTGCACTAAGTTCTGTAAACTACTAAATTGGGTCCGATACCTGAACGAATGTGTACGATAAAATAAAGTTGTCACTATGCTTAACTAATTAAGAACTACGCCATGAAGACGTGTGTGTAGTGGATGTACAGATCCACATTTTCTTGACCTCTGCACTAGCTAGAGGTGAGTGGTCAGCTTCACGTCCCGGCCGCTTTATCCCCGGGGAAAGAGCCCCAGGTACTCTTTCGATAGGAGGCTGGGTGGGCCCCAGAGCCGGTCTGGACGACGCGGAGAAGAGAAAAATCTTGACAATACCGGGACTCGAATTCCAACCCCTAGGGCGTCCAGCTCGTAGCCAGTCACTATACCGACTACGCTATCCCGGCTCCTGAAAGAATGTGTATAAACTATTAATATTTCCGTGAAGCCGAGTCCTCCCTGAGAAGCCACCAGTCGCTCATCTAATCAAGAATTTCCTAACATTCCATGGAACCTGAAGGTTACTTGCTGTGTTCACAAAAGCCCGGCGCTGGTCTCTGCCCTGAGACAGATGACTCCAGTCTATATCACCCATCATATTTCTCTAAAAATCCATGTTAATAGTATCCTCTCACCTATGTCTAGGTTTTCCTACTGGTTTATTTCCTTCTGGCTTGGCCGCGCCATAGCTCAAGCGGTTAGTCACTGGCGTCCCACCGCGGCGGCCCGGGTTCGATCCCGGGGTCTGGTCAAGTGGGATTTGTGGTAGACAAAGTGGCGCTGGGGCGGGTTTTCTCGGAGTATTTCGGTTTTCCTTGCCAATCTTCCACCAAATTCTCCATCATCATAATCACCCGGGGCAGGCTACAATAGGCCAATCAGTGGCCGCCGTGCCGAGTGGACCCAGTTGGACTCCACCCCCCACTAAGAGAATTTCCTTCTGGCTTTCTCACCATAAACCTATATGCATTCTTTTTCTTTCTCATGCGTGTTACCAGCCTAGCCCATCTTATCTTCATTAGCCTGTCTATTAGAATTATATTTTGCTACGCCTACACGTTATGGAGCTTCTCAATATGCAACCTTTTCAAGCCTCCTATTATTAAATCCATCCTTTGTCTAAATAATTTTCCCTAGTATCTGTTCTCGCACAATTTCAGTCTATGTTCATTCCTTAACATCAGAGACCAAGTTTCACAAACAGAACAAAACAAGTTTCACACACACATAAAATGCAAAGTTAAGAGTTTTGTATAATTTAATATTTTTTTTCGACAACAGGAACGATTGTGTATAAAGAAATTTCCAATCGATTCCACGAGTGACGGCAGGAAGTGACAAGCAGGCACCTACTTCCCCCAGTGTTTGGTGAAAGAAAATCAAAACTGGGAAAAATTCACATATACTATATATGTATAAAATATTAAAGTAACTTTTTAAAATCATTCTTTTTAGCTGAAAAAATAATATTTTATTATCACACTACGTAAGTTTGTAAACAATACATGAGCAATACTCATGAATATTTAATGATATGTTTCAATTCTTCTCCAGGAGGTTTCCATAGAATTTATACCGTCCAGACGAAATTATACAGAAATAGGTCTAGAGTTCTAAAAATCAAACATAATTCTGTAACAACACTAAGCAAAGAGTTCTGAACCCGTATATACATAGAAAGCGGTTCGCAGGCGAAGAAATCAAGGGCGTTGGAGTGAAAAGATACATAGTAAAACCTTCGTGTTGAGTTATAAAGTTTATGTATGTAATAATTAACAATTCAATTCTCACCTCAAAGAAAAAACTTACTTTCAAATTAAAATGGTTAACTGGTTAACGTAAGAAACATATAAATAAAATTTTTTGGGAAAATGAAGAGGGTATATAAAGATGGAGGCAACAATTTCCTCTAGAACGATGTTACTTTTGTACCTTATAACGCGGCACCATATCTCAGAAGAAATCTGTTTTCATAAACATAAGCTCTTTCTCAATCCGACGTTTGGACGTAGTCTTTCATAATGTTTAAATTTATGGTTCATAAACTCATTCATGTGTAATTTTCAGGATATTATCGAGGCGGTTCAAGCACAGGTTTTGGGGGGCTACCAACAGTCCCCCCAAACACGTACTTGCCTCCGAAAAACGCTGGAGGATTTGGAACTCAAAGGTCATCAGGCGCATTTGATAGTCACGGTCGTTCAAGTGGAGGAGAATTCAAAGGACCGTCATTAGACACTTCCTCATCATTTGGAAGTCCTGCCGGTGGGTTTCACGGATCCCATAATGGGCCGTCCAATGCATACTTACCACCAGGTGGTGGCAGTACAGGTTTCGGGTCTCAAAGTCCTGAATTCGGCAATAAAGGCCCATCACGCGATGGCTCATCTAGCACCTACAGCGCACCAGAGTACAATGAACCAAGTGCTGGATCAGGATCATACAAAGGATTTCCTAGTGGATCGGATAATTTTGGAGGATCTCCTCTTGGACCATCAAATTCTTATCTTCCTCCCAATTCTGCAGGTAGTCAGAGATCTTCAAACGGATTTGGACATCTAAGGTCATCAGAAAGAAACAACTTTGGCAGACCATCTGGATCCTATGGCGTCCCATCTAGTACAAGCAGTAGAATTGGTGGGCGAGGCCCACCTGGTGGCAGTGGATCAGATGGACAAGTTTCTGATATTTATGATGCACCAGGATCTGGAGGTGGAAGATTTGACGGACAACACGCTGGATTAAGGATCTTGGGTACTAACGCCTCCCCAAAATACGAACGTAATGGGTTTGTTCAGGGACCTTCTGGAGAAAGTCCCACGGCAACATACGGTGGGCCAGCTTCCAATATTAATAGATTTGGTGGTCAAGGTTCTTCTGGAGGGTCTTCGGAAGCAAATAATGTCCCATCTTCTAGAGATAATGGATTTAGTGGTCAAGGATCTTCTGGAGGAAGCGTGTTTGGAAGGCCTTCGGGCATGTATGATGCACAAGCTGCCATTAGTAGTGGATTTGGAAGACAAGGCCCTTCTGGAGAAAGCGGATTTGGGAGGCCTTCGGGTTCATACGGTGCACCAACTTCTAGTGGTAAAGTATTTAGTACTCAAGGTACTTTTGTAGGACGCAGGCTTGGAAGTCAGTTTTCAGAAACTTTTGGTGCTACAGCTTCCGGAAGTAGCGGATTTGGTAGCCAAACCCATGCTGGAGAAAACCTTTCGAGTGGCTTTGGAGCTCCATCCTCAAATTTTGGTGATTTAAGTCACCCTTCAAATGTTCATATTTCCTCCGGTGGTGGCATAGGACGGCATTTGCAAATTTCTGGCGGAATTGGCAGTCAAAGTAATGAAAGACCCTCAAGCTTCCACAACATTCCAGGACTAGATGGAGGCTATAACGGTTCCCCCAATGGTGCATCAAATACATATCTTCCCCCTGCATCGGGTGGACGTTTTGGAGGTCAAGGGTCACCCAGAAACAATGGTTTCGGTGGACAGCATGGGTTTCCATCTGTACCGATTTCAAATACTTACAGTTCATCATACAATGATAGGTCAATGAATGGTTACACTGCTTTCTCCATCAATAGTAACGGTAATTTCAATGGACAAAGAAGGCCTTCAGGATCTCACTGTGTACCGGTTGCAGGTTGCCTTAGTGGACGACCAGATACATATAAAGTTGGTGGCTTTACTGAACCCTCAAATCCATATCTGCCTCCAGGTTCCAGTTTCAATTATCGAGAACTTTCCGGAAGTGTTAGTTTGGGTGATCCAAGACCTGGGGTAAATGGTTTCAGTAGTTCACGTGATGGTACTTCCAATAGTTATGACAATCCTAGCTCTGACAGTCCAAATAATCATGCTACTGGCTTTGGACGATCATCACCTGGTTCCTCTAATACCTATTCGTCCTCTGGATCAGGAAGAAATTATGGGCCAAGTGGGTCTGGAAGGCAGTTAAGCAAGTTAAACCAGTATGGAGTCCCCCACCCTGGAGGATTTGGCCTGAGACCTCAGACTGCTAATAATGGTGATCATGGACCTGAAAGGAATGGCTCTCAAAGGCTGCCAACCTCATACAATGCATCAAACAATGGAGTTGTTTCAGGACAGCCAACTAGTTCACATTTTCCCAGTCAAAGACAAGTGTACATGTCTGCTTTTGAAGGTTATAAATATTAATAAACAACTGAATGCTATATAATATTTTGTAATTAACTCATATCCTGTCTGGATGATAACTTGATTTTATTTAATACACTTTAGAAATTCTTTAATACCTTTTGTAATTACATCTTTTTTTTCATGAAATAAAACCTGTCAAATATGCTTGAGTTTCTATACATGAATTTCTTAGAACTAGTCAGCAGTTAATACGAGAAGAAAATTTTAAAATGTTATAACTGTAAACGTTTTGAAAGGAAGAACAAAATTTGTATTTGAATTTCCTATTTTAATATGGAATGAAATTAAAAAAAAAGCAACAAAACTGCATCAGTGGCAACTACGTGTATTTACACAGATAGTCATACTAACTTCAAACAAAAATTTACTGTACATAAAAATGCAGCAATATGACACATTTGAGTTATGTTTTTTGTTGGAAACATTTCTGAATTGCAGAAATACTTACCAAGATAAAGTAAATGCTTATTTTTTTGGTTCATATTTGGTACTAGCCCAATCAGCCAAACACAGTTAAGTCATGGGGCAGAATCCTTCATTTGAGTGACTTCATAGTCGTACCTGCAGCCACTTCTCTCTCATGTCAAGCATTGTTCACGTATTGCTTGGTTTCCTTCAATCAAATTCTGATGTTTAACCACAGTAGGAGTATCAATGATCATGAATAGTAGTGAAACATGAGGTTGAGTGAAGATACTGGCAAAAGACCAGTATTTTTTTAAAAGAACTTCTAGTATCAGCCACAGAATAAAAAATATGGGACTAATTTATATTTCTAAATAAGACGGGAGAATGTATTTTCTATTCACCTGCTACATAAACTTAAGAAACTAGGTTGCATAAGGCATTTACAAATACAGTGCAAAAGGATTTTACGCTCCAAAATAGAAATCAGAGAGAAAAGACACAAAATTGAAATTAACACATTTACTCTCAAGTGATTAAATAGCCGCACAAATCTGACAGGTGTTGTCCAGTGATTGAGATTAGTTCTTTCGAAGGATTGTAATTACATCCTTCTCGCCCCTTCACCTGAAGACGGAAACAGATCCAGTTTCTGGAACATCATGTTTCTGTTCTCTAGAATACCAGACAATGGAAAAAGTCCAAAAACCCAGTAATCTACTCTCAGTTGATTGCATAAATCTGACATGTGTTGTCCAGTGATTGAGATTAGTTCTTTCTAAGGGGCCCACCTAAGGACGGAAACAGATCCAGTTTCCGAAACATCATGCTTTCTGTTCTCTAGAATACTGGACAATGGAAGGACTCCAAAAACCCAGTAATCCTGCGTGTTATACTCCATCGTCACAACCCTTTAGACCTATATTTACTCTTACCCCTACCCTTCATTAGAATAAAATTCTAAGCTCTTAATATTATGTATAGGACAACAGTCAGAGACAACCTAATCCTTGTAAAACATTGGAGTACAAGGAAAAAAATATAAAGAATAAATTTATTTTCTTTTTCCCAACCCCCTCGGATTCCCCATTTAATTTTGAGGGCATTTTACTAGTACTGAATAGATTTGTAAAATTCTTTTCTTACTGGATAGCTTCACTTATTTATTTTTACATTTACCTTGAACTAACCAACTTAACTGTAAGTTACTAACATCAAACACAGCAACAATGCTGCAACAAGACTGAACTGCAGGCATGAATATGTGACAAAAATGTAAACAAAAATATAGAAACTAGTATTTATTTATGACATTGTACAAAGTCACACAATGCATAAAATACACAATGAACTACATAGAACACTTTGTTACATACATATGAATACAGTCTGTACAACAAAATTACACACATTTCTAAAACAAATAATATAAACAAAGCAACATTTTGGTATGTTGATCTCATTTGCAAATAAAGTGAAGCTAGAAATGTGTATGAAGAACTAGTTTACTCTTCTGACTGGCTTTTAACTCAGTACACAGAATATAAAAAGAAAACTGTACTTAAAAGATAACATAATTCTAAGACTTCTATATGTAAAATAATGCAATCAGCAGTGAGTACCAACAGTACTGCATTATGGGATGTGACACATCTTCAGAGATACTATTCCTTCACCCTGAACATGTTGTTGGTAGCACTGGCCTGATTCTAACAAAATAATGCAAGAAAAGGTAAAGTTGCTTCTGTATTTAATTAACCTTCAACATACAGGCTTTTTAATTGCTGGCAGCTCTCTGCAGCCATAATTTAAATGGCCCTAAGTCTTTAACATTACAGACTTTCTGAAACAACTATATATTTTCCGTTCTATGCAACATAGAAATACGAAAAACAACCCGAAAGACAGTAACATTTTCTACACATACACAAAAGAGCAATTTTTACAAATGAAAATTAGCTGTTATTTTGTCATGAAATGCAAAATATAATCTTTACTATATGTTATGAAATTGCAAAGGACTTACCCGTAGTTTTTTCTTCCATCTTGCGACATGGTGATTTTGTAAATATAATCGCACTATATACAATATTTTCTTCAGACTGTATAAAAGTTTGAACTGTGTCACTTCACAGTTTACGATACCTCACACTTTGACGCGGGTGTGCCACTTCTTGAAGCAGTTCACGACACATAGCCCAACATCACACTTTTTACAATAGAAAAGGGTGCTCCTGCTTTTCTTATTTAGCGAACACACATGACGTCTTTGTTTCCCTTTCGTTCATCAGATTTGGACAAATTTTTGCAGTTCCAGCTTGGGGGAGAGGGTTACAGCTAAATCGAATTCTGTTGATTGACAAAGCGACACTCTCACCTCTTAGCAATACTTGCAAAATAGTGATGCAAAGTAAATATAATACTAGTCAAAAAGAGTGCCAGTCCAACACTGATACCAAAAGTCACAGTGATGAAGATGTCTTTTACTCACAAAGTAATACTGGCTCAGTGGGTTTATACCTCTTCCTAGACATAAAATAAAAATGATATATAAAGAAATATATGAGTCTGACATTGACTTTCTAACTGATAATGAAATATATGATACTCCTCAGTTCTCAAAACACAGTTGGGCTTTATTTGGCTGACCAGGTCATAAACAGTCATATCTAAACGTAAATAGTATCCAAACCAGTACCTTGATAAACAATTTCATTGTTCAGAGCTAACGAATGAACCACTGATATGACCTTGCATGGGTTTGTTTTGGTTTCAAAATGAAGATCAAACTGCTAACACTCCCAAAGAGAGGACCTGTCCTGCACTAGATATATCTAACATTCAGCCACAGCAGAGTGTTACCCACTGTTAGATATATCTAACATTTGTATGTTAAAGGTTAAACACTATGCCATGAAGACATAAGGAGTGGAGGTATAGCTCCACCATTTTTGACCTCGGCACTAGTTGGAGGCGAGTGGCCATGCCCTAGTAGCTTTACACCCACCAGGAAACTGCCCTTGGAACCCACTGGATATAAGACTGGGTGGGCCCCAGAGCCAGCATGAATGCCATGGAGAAGAGAAAGCACTTGCCCTTGCTAGGAATCAAACTCCAGTTGTCTGACCCATAACTCGTCATTATATTGATGGAGCAAAATAATTATCCTGATCAATTATTTAGGCCAAACATTGTGGAGCATAGCATACTCTTAAACTCTGAAGATGGATGAAGTATATGTTCCTCTGAAACAATGGTAAAAAAACTACTACACTATATGGTGGCACATATTCAGTCACCACCCTAAGAACATTAAGTCAAACTCACTGATTACCCACATTTTATCACTGGGATTACCATGCCAATCATCGCACGATTTCTGAATGATATACAGTGGATCCTCGCTTAACGAGCATAATTCGTTCCAGAATCTTACTCGTAATGCGAAACAATTTTTCCCATATAAATTAATTTAAAATATGATAATGCATTCCATGCCGAAAAAAATACTAAAAAAATTTTATGTATAACGTTTATTCAAAGAAAATTATATATAAATTGTTAAGGAGCGTGAATCAACTTCATCTCTTCTTCTATGCGGAATGAACCAACCTGGAATGCGAATTCGATTTTCAGGGAAAAAAAATCGAAATAATTAGTTTATTATTTATGATACATATCTAATTCTTTTTTACTAGAAAGCTGTCTAGAGACATTTGTTTTTGCTGACGCTTCAAAATTTGGTGAAAATGCGACACAGCATTATCATTAAATAAATTTGTAGTGCGCATGGCCACTGCCTTATTAGGGTGATGCTTCTCAATGTACGATGCAACAGTTTCCCATGCTTTCAGCATTTCTCTTATTGCGCCAGAAGATTGTTGCTTTGCTGTTACCTCCTCCTCCTCCTCTGACAAACTCTCCTCCACAACTTCTTGCTGTGAAACACAATGCAACTCCAAATCATGCAAATTGTTGATGTAGGCCGATTGTATGTGCGTGCTAGATCAGCCACACTCAAACCTCATTCTCGCTTTTCAATGATTTTACGTTTGATTTCTACTGTTATTTTTATTCTCTTATGGCTGTCTTTTTGCAGCTTTTTCTTCGGGGACATTTTTGCAAGGGTTATTAACCTGTGCACAAAAAAATCACAAATAATATGTCTGAACACAAGTTTGGAAAAATGTGTGATCACAAGTGACACTAAGATGCTAGCAGAATGAGTGCTAAACACAGACTGATGTAGCAAGCGCACAATCCGGGACTTCCCCTCTTGTCGCTCGTTAAGCAAGTCTTTTTTTACAATTTGTTTTGCTTGTTATGCGAATTACTCGTTATGAGAGGTGCTCGTTAAGCAAAGTTCCACTGTACTGGAAAGGATGTGGACAGAAGATGTAATCACCTATTTTAATGACATTTAATATGCAGAAATAAAAGCCACAAAAATCTGAGGCAGAGCAGCCAGGATCTCCTGACTATGAACTACCTAACCACAACACTCGATAAAACAATGTATAGATTATCTGCATGTTATTGCCACAGGCAATCGCTACTGATGATAATGTGTAACATTCAAGGGTACATAGGAACTGAGATTCTCACAGCAGTGGTTATGAAGAATACTCAACTTCCACAATATGCCATGCGGCCTGCAGAAAGTAAACCGACATTTCAGAGGAACATATCACTCTCATCCCCAGGGTCACAGAATAAGCCAAGCAAGAAACCAGCAAGAAAGCAGGTGGAAAACTCTGAACAGATGCCACATCAAAGCATCCCTCTTTGTTGCCTTGAAAATGATGCATGTCGCCTGTTTTCATGCGGGTCTCTTGCTTGGCTTGTTCTTCGACCCTGAAGATGGAGGCGATATATTCCTCTGAAATGTCAACCGACTTTCAATGAACTAGATGGCGTTATATCCAAGACAACAATTTTTCAATAAGTGGTAGAATTCTAAAAATAAGAGTGTCAAAACAATATGGCACACAGTTTCAGACTGTGGGATATGAGCATGAACCACGATAGGACACTGCTCTGGTTGTTATTTGAAACAGAGAATTCAATGACAAAAAGCACACAACTTAACCCTTATTTGCATTCTCTTTCAAATTAAAATATATAAGTAACACATTCTTAGCAGCAGAATTTAATGGGAAAATAAAGATCTTTTTCCTTAATGTTTTCTGGGCGCAGTAAACAAAGTTTTTTACCTTGCTTCAGATTAGATATACTATGGATCTGCAAGAATTCTCCCCACAGTAAAAACGTTTTGTTACATCATTTTATGATATTTTGAATAACATAACAAATGTCACATAACAGACGTACCACTGTTGTCACTGTCAAAGATATACAAACAATGTTGATTATAATTCTTTTTCACTCATACTAAATAGGAGCTTTATGGTTTGTGCTCTTCACCACATAAAATTGATGAAGATGGGTAAGCACTCATAGGTAAGTTTATAAAGGTACATAAAATATGTCAGAAAACCTAGGATATGGAGTCATTCAGGACAGCGGTTCTCAACTTTTGTCAGACCATGGCCCAGTAAATTCTTTTTTCTATAAAAGGAGGTCCCGATACCAGGCCGTGGCCCAGCGGCTGAGAAACACTGATTTAGGAAACTTAGAACAAGATGGTAGAATACTCAAATGAATCATTAGAGGATACAATGTGGATTGGATTCATTTGGTTCAGAATATGAACCAGCTTTTGTGAACATAGTAATGTACCTTCGGGTTGACCTCCAAAATTACCATATCTGAATCACTCACTTTCTCTCGTGAAGCTGCCCAAAGTGTGGCGCAAGGGTGTACTGGAGAGTTAGCTGCTGAAGCAGTAACTGTAGGAAGCATCAAGGCTGGCATGGGCCGAGACAAGTTACAATATCAGGTACATATGACACACAACAAAAAAAAAATGAAACTGTAAATTTATTGACAGAAACTTGAGTTAATCTTAATTTCACTGGTTTGTTTCTTTTAATATTGTGACGTGATTACATGGTCTGCTGCAAGGCAATGGTTAGGTAGACATATTTCCATAATAATGGATATACATGCAACAATAAGTGACATTGATGGAAACAGTGTTCTTTATGCTTTAAGTGCCGAGGCTAAATAGCAGACTGATGAGATGAGTTTGTCATGAGTTGAGAGTCACAGCTCGAAAGCTGGACAATTGGTTAACTCTGAAACAGTCACCAGCCAGTATGGAAGTGAACGCAGAAGCTGAGGAATCTACACAGTTGGCATCTGTAACCTAGCAACAGCTAGTGAAGACAAACTGAAAAGACTTAATGTGTGTTGTAGTGATGCAGTGTGTGAATTCATTAGACTATTATCATCATTTGTAGTTATGAGTTATAGGCGCCTAGTAATTCCAATTACCAACCCAAACCGTGTGTCAAGTCACTGACATGTGACAATATATACTGTAACATGTTTGGGAGTACATACTTCCATAGTAACGCAATAACAGCGGGCCGTTGCGTATGAATTGCAGAATCAATGAAGGAGTGTCTCCCCAGAGATGAACAACAGAAGGCCCGTTGAGTAACAACAGATGAGACAAAACATGTTACCAGTGTATAAACAGCGTTCCCAAAGCAACGGATTGCCGAACACGTGAGATCGAACCTTGGCGAGGGGTGTCCTCTACTGAGTCCGCAGAACACCTACATAAGCCGAGAGCCACAGACAGCAACAACACAGTTGGAACCTAGTCGCCATACTATACAGCTGAAAGACAGCCACTGCAGAATACAGGTGAAGTGATAACAATTGTAAAGAGTGTAAGAGTGAGTATCCAATAAAGATTCGCCAAATTCGAGACCCACGTACAGTTATTTGTCACGTGACACACCCAACACGTGACAACTGGTGTCAAAAGTTGGCTCAGTTTGAAGTCTGAAGCGAATTTGGAAGAATTATTGGTCTAACACCACATCGAGTGCCATAACACCACACGAGCTAGAATGGACTCACAGCAGATGATGGAACTCCTGAAAAAGATGAAGACCGGCCACAAAAAACTACTAGCCAAACTGGAGGATGACAGACAGGCCGAAATGAAAGCATGGTGAGAAGAGATGGCTGCCATGACAGACAAATGGGGGAACGACAACCATGATGAAACATTGGCCTGCCAAGACATGGAGGCACGTCGAGATGAGAAGAAGTCAGCCTCACCGGGCAGGAAACCTGAGGCTGCGCAGAAAGAAGAGGTACCCGTAGTAGACGCCGAAGTAATGCCGCTCACAGAACCGAAGAAGAAAAGGCGTAGGGACCGAAAACTGGCTGCAGAGCGCCGCCACCAGAAAGAGAAGGATTCGACACGGTGAAATTGTAAACCCCAGAAGAAATTGGCCATCGCCTGCAGAGGGATGAGCCACCGTGCAACAGTGGCATGACGCAAGAGAGACATTGTAAAGTAGTACTTTACCCAGGAAAAGTGTCACCCACAGAGAGAACTGGTAGATTCTAGAAATAGAACGACCCACTGTGCAAGAGTGGCACGGGGTAAGGATAATGCCGTCGGGAAAGTTCATGCTGGGGACAATGTGGTATGAGGAACATGGAGAGGATGGACGCTCGGAAGAGACAATTGGCCATCGCCTGCAGAGGGATGAGCCACCGTGCAACAGTGGCATGACGCAAGAGAGACATTGTAAAGTAGTACTTTACCCAGGAAAAGTGTCACCCACAGAGAGAACTGGTAGATTCTAGAAATAGAACGACCCACTGTGCAAGAGTGGCACGGGGTAAGGATAATGCCGTCGGGAAAGTTCATGCTGGGGACAATGTGGTATGAGGAACATGGAGAGGATGGACGCTCGGAAGACACAATGGGCGCAACCGCAATGTAACAAGAGGAACAAGGATCGAGCCCTACAGAAAAATGACTGGATGAGGCCGCGAAGCGAATTACCGAATCTCCTGTCCCACCAAAAATGTCAAGAATTGGACACTGTGGAGATGTCGACCCCCTCCAAAGCGGAAGAAAGGAAACGGCCCATATGGAAGGAACCGGTAAGGTAGAAGTACCGACCTCCCCCGTAAGGGCGAACGAAGAAAGATTAAAAGTGAAGAATGAATGTGAGCCAATGGGACCAACAACCGCTGGACCCTGGAAGTGCTCAGGGCGAACACTCTGGAAGAAGGGGTGGCAGATGGAAGGAAGGCAAAACACAGAGAGCTACAGACAGCAACAACACAGTTGCAACCTAGTCGCCATACTATACAGTTGAAAGATAGCCACCGCAGAATACAGTTTAAGTGATAACAATTGTAAAGAGTGTAACAGTGAGTATCCAATAAAGATTTGCCAAATCCGAGACACACGTAAAGTTATTTGTCGTGTAACACACCCAACACGTGACAATATAATGGTCAAGAAAATTCATCCTCCTAAAAACCACAAATGACAGCAGCACCCTGTACATGTAACACAAATTTACATTAAGAGCTTAGTGTACATCACTCTGACAGGCAAACACGAAACAACTGTAAGGGAAAGGAAAAAGAAATTGGTGGGAAGACACTACACATACTTTCTCAAACACAACTGCCCTTATGGTAAATTAGGTTTAGATAAAATCACTACTTCCTGTTTAGGCCCCTAGTGCATGTATCAATCTTTTCCTGAAGGTACCATATATGCAGTTTTTTTTAGGGATATGGTCTCCATAAATTATTAAAATTAAATCAAAATCATAAGAACTGTCTTTGAGAAAATCACCATTTTGTTCTGGGCGAGGGGCATCTGAAGGGTTCACACTTTTGGAGTTTTGAATGTCCACATTTACCAGGCAGTGACCTATGATAAACTCAAAAATACCGAGTATGAATGTCAGCCACTTCAGGCACTAGCGATGTGCATATCCATTCATATATACAGACAGCATTCCAAAAACCACTTTTCTGTAGTCAAGGAAGCTCAAAATAGGTAACTATGTCAACACATATGGATCGATTTGTTTCACAATAGTAGCACTTACTTATATATATTCTCACATGATTTTAGTGACTATATATGGGGTTTGGATTGGTAATCGGATTTACTGAACTCTTACAGATCTGTGCCTACAAGTAATTATGTTTCATTAATTCAAACACACTGCATTTAATTCACTAGAGAACTTGAAGTCTTTTCAGCCTGCTGTGTCTTCACCAGTCTTCTGGTAATGGCTTCCAATGGCTGACATCCCCCTTCGTCTGAAGTCCCGGACTCAGTTACAGAAACTCTCGACTGACTTCCAGGCTGGCAACCATCTCATACCAACTTCCTACTCTTCTCATAATCATCTCAAGACTCTTCTCTTATGGCTGCTGGTCCTTGTTTTATAGCCTCAGCAAGGACTGCACAGAGAACACCACTTCCAACAGCTATTGTTGCAGGTATGTCTGTTGTAGCCATTACCTAACAACAGCTGATGCATAGCTCCTTATTTCGAGGTCGTTGCCTAGCAATGGCTCTACATCCCAGAATATACTATGAATATAAGAAAGTAAAGATAGAAATTTTAACTAAAGTGAGTCAGAAGAGTAAACAAACTAGTTACAAGTTAAATGTAAATGAATGATGTCACATTCATTCAGTGGAATCCTTCCCTGCTGTCGCTTCATCTTCATCATGACTTGAAGTGTGCCATGTAAGTCGTTCCTCATAAAACTGAATGACGATCTGTGGGCAGCGGCCATTGGCTTGCCTTGCAGGTACCAAGTCAGCTTCATCTGTTCCTTTCCTGCAAGCAAACAAGCTGATGCATACAGAGAAAACAAAGCATATGTTCATGCAGACTGCAAGCCAAAGTTATATAAAGATAGCAGATTCTTCTCAATTATGACAAGGTTTCACATATGAGAATGACACTAAGAAATAAAAATTACATTCATGAAGAGGCACATGGTGGCATGGTTGGTTGGGCCATTGTGCTGCAGGCCTAACTACTGCACGGGCAAGCAGTATTACAGCTGGTACCTCCAAAGACTGCATAACAATTAAATCAAATACTAGTTGGTAGTGGTTACTGTTTGTTCTTTTTATGTTGCATTTTAGTGTTTTAGTTACGAAGTAACGAGTGGCCATGGCATTGAAAAAAAAAAAAAGGTAAGGTGAAGATTATTCAGGAGTGAAAAATAAACCAACTGTTGCAAAACGAAATTGTGAAGTGTTTTGTGATCCTCCGTCATCGTTAAGTAATATTAATTTTACAGTAAGTTTGAATTCTTGAAGATGAAAATTGGTTTGGAGCACATTTCAAGAAACAAAAGAACTCTTATCAAATGAACAAGCTTCTCCCTATGTGGCGCCAGGCTAGAATACCTCCACTGCAGCTGTTAGTAGGCAACAAAGAGGGAAACTGGAGCCTGAGGGCATAACTGGGCCACCCTGTCACTGGGGAACATAAATACATGAACCCACCTGGTTGGAGGGTTGGATGGAAGGCTGATGACCTTGCTCTGTAAATATCAGTCACAAAATCCAAAGAAGTGAAAGCTGGATAGTCTGACTGAAGACAAATCTGGTCGAATCTTCTAAGGCTCTGGCTCAAGAAGGGTTGTTTTGCCAATGACGATGAACAATAAGGACCAGCGCCTTATTACTGACTTTTCATTCCTGTATGCATGACAGCGGGGTATGTGTACCAAAAATCTTCCTGGGGGTAAGGTTTGCTGGCACATGAGGCTCACAATGTCACCACCATCTGAGCCAACTGTCTTGAAAATGTGGGAGCCTCAACATCTCACAACACAATAGACCTTCATGGACTGTTTCAGAGATAGCTTTGCCTTTGGGTGGCAGTGTAGTTGGTTGAGGCACTATGCTACAAGCTGGAAGGTCATGGGACCAAATCCTGATGAGGTCAATGCAGTTTTCAATTGATCTAATCCTTCCAGCCACACTAAAGCCATGGGGTCAACTAAGCCTCTAATATGAGTACCAGGAATCTTCCTGGGGGGTATAGGGTAACCAGCACATTAGGCTGACAACCTTACCAACATCTATGAGACGAATGTCTAGAAGATGTGGGAGCCTTGACCTCACACACACCTATGCACAGGGTCAGCTTTATCGCTTTTTTTTACATACTAGGTGGTTCAAATATGACCGGGACTGATTTTTTTGTAAAGAAGCCGCACTGCGCAGCAGCTGTGCGATCTTGAGAGAGTGAAGCCACAACCTCCACCCTCCCTCCTGTTTGGGTTAGAACCTGTTCAGTCCTGTCTGGAAGTTGCTAGAGTGATGAGTGAACAGAAGGTACCGCAGAGCGTGGAACAACGCATTGTGATCAAATTCCTCGTTGGAGAAAATGTCCCATCCACCGAAATTCACCACAGACTCTCCAACAGTATGGGGAAGAGTGTCTCTCACGGACCCTAGTGTTTGAGTGGTGTAAGTGCTTCAGAGAGGGCAGAGAGCATGTGGAGAATGAACCACATGATCGTAGGCCTCGAACATCTGTCACCAAGCCAAACACTGATCATGCAGACGCACTTATTCGTGAGAAGAAGCGCATCACTATCAAGGAACTTGGAGCAATGCTGTCCATCAGTGTTGCTGGTGTAGAAGACATCATGAAATACCACCTGCACTATCGCAAGGTGAATGCACGGTGGGTACCACACACTTTGAAGGACATGAACAAAATGGTGCGCATGCAAGTTGCCAGTCGTCTCCTACAGCAGTTTGAAGACGAGGGTGATGCATTTTTGAAGTCTATAGTGACCACCAATGAAACGTGGGTGCACTACTTCATTCCCGAGTCCCAGCAATCACCACGCGAGTGGCGGCATACCAGTTCTCCCAAACCCAAGAGAGCGTGGAGGAGCCGTTCAGCAGGAAAAGTGATGGCAACGTTCTTCTGGGACTGGCAGGGGGTTATCCATATAGACTTTCTGACAGATGCCAGAACAGTCAATGCAGCTTGTTACTCAGACCTCCTGGCAACAGACGTGAAGGAAAAGACCCAATCCAAGCAGAAGACAGGTGGAAAGTGGGTAGCCTTTCCTTCAAGACAATGCACGCCCCCATACAGCCAAAACAACAATGGAAACCCTCCGGAAATTGAAATGGAACCTTCTGACACATCCGCCGTACAGTCCCAATTTGGCACCAAGTGATTTCTACCTGTTCGGAAGGCTCAAATCAGACTTGCAAGGCATGCTGTTTGTGGACGACGCCATCATTCAGAATGTTTGGGAGTGGATAGGCCACCAACCACAAAACTTTTTTGAAAAGGGCATCAGGATGCTTCCAAAACGTTGGAAAAAATGTATTGACTCTGGAGGAGAGTACGTCGAAGACTGACATGTGCAAGTAAGTGTTTGGCATTTTGGGGGGGGGGAAATTAGTCCTGGTCATATTTGAACCACCTTGTATATCAGGTCCATCCATTACTGACGATATAATCCCCTTTCCATGAAACAATGAATAACTGCCTGATGATTCTATGCCATCTCACCTGACCTTCGACCAAACCTACGTATACAGGTAATTCTCCTTATACACCCCTTCGTTTTGATTTCATTAGTGTGTTACATGAAGCATCAATGTCCTTTCAGTGAGCAAGATAGATGCTGACAGCAATCACCAGCGAGCTGTGTGGGCAGTTTCCTTGACTCATCCCACAGTATTTACTGTCATGTTCTTTCCTGCTCGCCTTCATGGTACTCTGTTCTTTCAGTGCATTTACTGTTTTATACGTTTCTGAAATATGCAGCTTCTTTTAAGAAATGGAACTGCCCTGCATATGATGAAAGTTGCCTGTCCTTTGCCAATTCTTTTGCTCCTGAGTTCAATGAACCCATGCTACACAAATTCTAGTTCAAAATCGCACATCCTTTCCCACTGCTCCAGTCATGCCAAAGTACCAAAGCTCTGTATAACATTTTGTTAACATGCCATGTTTCTCATGATAAATGTTGTTAGCTCTCATCCAACCTCCAAGTTAAGGACCACACTTGGTTGGTGTCTGTTACTACTTATTCAAGATATTTGGAGTTATCCTCCATATGTGAAGGCCATTTCCTCAATCCACAACTTAAGAAGAACCATTCCATTTATTTCAATTAAAATCATGACATACCATTTCATAAGAAACATGAGTTCTCCGCTTGAGTCAGTTGCTCCAATAATTTTTTCTGGTTCCAACCCACGGTCAAATCCTCTTGGCTTATTATCTTCCTACAAAGCAGGAAAGTTACAGTTTACATAAAATATTATTAGCAGCACCATGACAGAAACTCTTATACATCTCTTAAAACATTTCCAAAAGGACTATTGCAAGTAGAGCAGAATCCCATCTTAATATTTCTCAATTCAAGGCTTTCTCTCATATACTCTTCAATTAAAATGAAGCCAAGTCATTAACCTCTGTATCAAAGATTTTCCTCAGTTCAATGCCTAAATCCACTGGTCCCAGAAGGAACCTAAGCAGGGATTTCCCTTGATTCAGAATAAAATACACTTCCACCATATTTTGTGAATACTCATTTATATGCTTAATGAGGTATAAAATACAATGTTCTCTATTTGGGTATGGTTTTCAATTTTAATGCAATATTAATGATTTAGGTTCAGTTTCTAAGTTCTGTTAAGATGCCTCATTGATCAAAGTTGGTACAACCTCAGCCATCTGCCTTTAGCTCAAGCATTTAAGAGCACACACACAATGTACTATACCTAATACCATGAACCGATTCTGTGAAAACACAACATTACACAGAACTGTGAATTTGAAAGGTACAGTGTTATAAATAGAAGTTCCTGGCTGGTCATAATTCAAAATAAAACAGCTCAAAACCAGTCATTTGAAGATCAGACACTACAGCAAAATGTAATGGTAATAAAAGCACAAGAAATTCATTAAACATTAGATTTAAAGAAAATACAGACTCAAACGGATGAGGGGAGGAAGAATATCTAGTTTTCTCATGTACTTCAAACAATGGAGGGAGTTATAACAGTTCAGTTAGTTTTACAAAGTGCCACAGCAGTGAACTTCCACTGCCATTGTATAATCACATGTACGTAAAAAAAGTACCATAGTTGGCTGAGGCAGTATGGTACAAGCTGTAAGATCGTGGGTTCGAGTCTCGATGAGGTGGATATTTGTCAATTAACCTAATCCTCCCAGCCACACTATGGCCCTGGGGTCAACCCAGCCTCTGACAGAAATGAGTACGAGGAATCTCCCTGGGGGGGTAAAGGGTGGCCAGCGCATTATGCTGACAACCTCACCACTACCTGTGAGCCAAATGTCTTGAGAAAATGTGGGAGCCTTGACGTCTCACAGCCCTAGTGGCCTTCACGGCCTGTTATAGAGATAGCGTTACCTTTTTTTATTTAACTGAAAATGATGATAAACACCAATATAAAAATAGACATCTCATGGCAGACTATTACAAAATCAAGGCTGTTTTTGTATTCAGCGAGGGATGATCTCTGACTGCTCCAGGGTATGTACTATTTCCCTTCACCTGGTATTATACAAATGTGAATGATCGTGACCAGACTGGTGCAAAATGAACACTTAAAAAATTGCAAATGAAGTTAGTTACCTCTACATGTTTTTTCTTGCTGGCAGCAGGTTTCTTGTCATCAACAGGAGTTCCAGGCTTCCGCTTTCGTTCATCCTTCTTTGCCGCTTCCTTCTTCTTTCTATTCTCCTCATACTCTGAAATCAGGTCTGGACAATCGAGATTCTCCTCAGGCTCCCAGGTATTATCTTCACTGTTTGGAAACAACACATGATCTATGGGTACCGTAACGGTTCCAGCATTTCTACTTTAAATAAAAATGTACTGTACCGTCAATAACAAGAGAGTGTCTTGCATCTCCCCATTCTTTAACCAATGACTGACATAAAGTGCACTGTTTTCTACAATGTGATGCCATGCAGTCTGGTAGAAGTTCACTGATGTTCCAGGGGAACATACTGGCTCTAAGTTCAGGGTCAAAAAGAAAGCTTGCAAGCAATGAGTATAGACTTGCTGGGAAACTTCTACAAGACTACATGGAGTAACAACCCAGAAAACAGTACTCTTCATTGCCACTACTGTGAGAACCTCAAGTCTAACAGTATTACAGGTGCTGTCCCTTCTGGAACATAACACCACGCAAAGGTAAAACTCTCCATGTTTACTTAATTAAGCATCATGCCATGAAGTTGTATGGAGTGAGAGGAGGTGTAGCTCCACTATTCTTGATCTTGGCTCTGGAGAGAGGTGAGTGATCAGCTCCACACCCTGCTTACTTTACCCCCAGGGTGAGAGATCCCATTATCCATTGGATAGGAAGCTGTGTGAGTCCCAGAGGTGGTTTGGACATTATGGAAAGGAGAAAATCCCTTGCCCCTGCCACAAATCAAAATATGGCAGTCCAGCCCATAGCCCACTGCTATACTGACTGAGCTATCCGAGCTCTCATAAAACACCAGTATTCTGCTGAAAGTAAGATGAGGTCTTGGGAGGGCTGAAGAGCAAACCAAGCAAGAAACCAGCATAAAGCAGGCACAAAGCAAAGCACCAACAGCAACTTGCTTCATGCTGATTTATTGTGACATATTCCTCCAGAACATCAGTTGACTTTCAGTGGACTACATACCATTACACAGAGAAATTGGAACTCTTCATAACAACTACTGTGAGAACCTTACCTCCAACAAGAGTGTTGGTTCTGACTACTTATCACCAAACCCTTCTTTTGTAATTTAACTCACAACAGCAAAAGCATGGCAAACTTTTACATGTCTTTCCAGATATATCAAGTGTGTGGGATTCTTGAATCTTCAAATACAGCTCTGTGACATAACAGTGTGCGATAAACAAACTACCCTATGGAAGTGGTGCCCAACGTTCTGCAATAGTGATAGTACAGCAAGAGTAAAATACTCACAATACTAAAATGTACAGATAGTCATTAAGTCATTACTAGAAGTTGTTAAAGACAAAGTACACTTTATATATGGTGATTTATGAAGGAACAATTTTTCTGTAAGTTTGTTATCTAATGACACAGTCAGTATTCAGACTATACAACACTGATGAAAAAATGATTAATGAAGGTGGAGCTGTTGACAGAATGATATCTAGCAGGGGAGGGGGCTGCAGTACTCAAGAGAAAACCTGACCCAGTACATATGTCCTCCATAAATCCCATATGACCTGACCTGGAACCAAACCCCGACTACTGTAGTCAGAAGCTGGTGACTAATCGCTTAAGTTACATAAACAATCTTGTATTGTGGATGAATATATGTTTCATGGGAGGAAAAATGTATGCAAATACAATTAGCAAACCAGAATGAAAACTGCAATGGCTTTCCTATCCTCGCAGCCACATTTTCCCCAGTTCTTAGCTTTATCCTTACCCACTTGAACTACATTTCCCTCCATTCTATTCTGAGGCCAAATGAACAATTAACTGAAACAGGCAAATGAGAAAAACTACCAGGAACAGTCGAAGGAGTCTAATGGGGCAACAAGGATTTTTTTGTGAAGGGTAGTGAGAAAATTTGCTAACACACTTCAGTTTCAGCTCTTCAAGACTATTTTTATTAATGACCACTTAAATCTCTGAAGCTCTGAAAGTTGTGAGGAATATTTATATATGGTTATAAAGAAAATTTCTTAATCTTTACAATGATCCATTTCATGTTTCTCTAAGCGCATTTTTAGAAATATTACTAAAGAAACAGCTTGCAAACATGCAGGATGTATGGCTATGGGACCAATAAGCATAACAAAATTTGATCACAATGTAACACCGTGAGACAAATTTTACTTTAAGGTGTGTTGATTTTCCACGGAATGACCCAAATGTACTATGCACTCAGAAACTGTCCTGGCTAGCTAGACAAATATAAACCATGAAGAACAGTCAATGCAAAGCAATAAAGTGGCACTCCAAACTTAATATGAATAACTTTATAACTGGTACAGATTTCAGTGAAAGTAATATTACCAATCCTATAGTTATTAAATTCTCCTTTTGAAAAAACATGCGTGCAATTCAGGAAGCTGTAACTGTGTGTCACATTAATTCATCTGCGTGTATTGATGATACATTACATCCTGTTCTAGACATTGTGATTTTAAATAGCCAAGCTCTAAAAATGCAAAATATTATTCAAAGATCAAAGTCATATAAGCAGTAGGAAGCATGTCCAATGACCTCTCCTACATACTGGAACTGAAGAGGTTCATGGTAGCATAACTGTTACAGTGCTGAGGGAGGATGTATTTCCATACCAAGCCTGTCATGAAGCTAAACAGTCAGCTACCCCACTACCACTGCTGGCACATAATGGGTAACAACCAAATGAGGATTTCTCTAAGAGTCAGTGGGATGTTATTATTCTATTATTGCTCACAATAGGGGGCTGTGGGTGCCCTACAGCTGAGGCCCATATCTGTTGCTTGGCAATGACAGGGACGTTTCTGGCCTCAGCAGTTCAGTGCAGTACAGTTTTATGATGTTTCTGTCATTCAGACAAGGATAACGAACTGGTTCAATCACTGGCCCATTTCTAAAGTCATTTACCAATATCTATCAGTTCAAAATAATACCAAATGACCCGATTGGGAACAGACAAGAGGCAGAAAACAGATAGTCCACTTCAACCTCCAGCAGAGCATTTTTCTGATTGGTTTTCACCCAAGCTTCATGATAAATAGGACGGACTTGTCTTGTGAGATGTGATGCAGTGTGATCTGATAAATGTTCGCCAATGTTTCAGAGAAACTTACTGCCGCCATCTTCAGGGTACACAGCGCCACATTCTAGAAGACAGTGATCTTTATAATCTCTGCCATGAAAGCCTCAAGTCTCATATAATAATCCTTTACAGGTGGGAAACTCCATGCAATACCCACTCAAAAAGTAATCTTCAACCTTAGACAGTGGCAGCAGGTTATTGTGAAATGTTAGTAAATATCTACCAGACTACATGGTGTCACATTCCAGTAAGACAGTAATCTTCATACTCACAACAATGATAACCTCAAAACTGAAATTAATTTTGAGTAACTACAGAACTCACATATACACCTTGAAATCATAAGATTAATGCACAGAAAGAAGATGTTTACAAATATCTCCAAAAAGAATGAAATATAAAGTGCAGCAATATCCATCGAACCACTTAGACAATACTGAGAAGAACAAACATCATCAAAGCTTGAAAAGCATATGCTATGCTACCAGCCAAATGAAATCTCATTCACCTGCTGGGAGCGGGGCAGGGTGCGGAAGAAAGAAAATCATCATCATCGTTCACCACTACTAACCTTTCAACAGTGGGGAAGAAAAGATAGTTTACACACCATCATTTGGGTATCCCTGAAATTTGGTATCAACAAAATAGCACCGAAACTTGCACGACAATTTTTTAAAAGTGTCTGTGAATTGTGCATTATATTTATATAGACATTTAAACCATCTCTGACTGTCCTTTATCCAGCCACTAATTGGCAGAATCAGCTGAAAAAAGTATCACCAGCTATGAGAAAAACTAAAGAAAATCCATTAATATTAAATGCTATTGTAAATATCTGCTCGCCAGGATGCAAAACCAACTCACCTCATGGTGAGCACATGACCATTATTTTTCAAGCACAGGGATCATGTACAACTGCACTGCAGTTAACTTTTGAGAGCTATGCAGCAATTCAAAGCTAAATCTTTGTTTGAAAAGAATTTGTGGACATGTGAAGCATTTTATTATTCTGAATGATATCACTGACAAATTTAACTGTTCAGTCAGCATACAAATTTGACAGCCAGACATATAAGGACTTTCCTGAGTAAGAACATGAAACTCTAGCTCATATTCTTCACTATAAGAACATGTTAGATACTGTGCATTACCTGAGGTATACACAATCATTAGGCAGTTGGCTCTCCTCCTGTCCTCAGGTGACTGTCATTATACAGATGGATTTATCCTTCAGTTATTTAATGGGGTCAGTACTGATACTACATAGCATCAAGACAGGATTTTATTATTTATTTTAATATGGTGGGTAATGGTTTGGACAGAACCAAGAACCTTTTGAATACAAGACTAGTGTGCTAACCATAACAACTGATATCAAAATAAAACAAGAAATTCTGGGAAGAACTAATCACCTGATTTCCTTTCCTCCTATCCAATGGGTACTGGGTTCTCTTTTTCCAGGGGTAAAGTGGCAGGTGCATGAAGCTGACCACTCACCTCCAGTGCTGAGGTCAAGAAAATGTTGATCTATACATCCACTCCCCCATATGCCTTCATTGAGTAGTGCTTAATTAGTTACGCACAGGGACAACTTTACTTTTACTTGACAGGACAGGGGCAACACAGGAAACGTGACATCTAGCAGTTCTTCTATAGTTACATATATGAATTGCCATGGGAATGTGTATAACAAGCCATTGGTGGTGGGGAGCATGATGACACACAAACAGAAAGGTGATCAAACAAGCATTTTATTTTTTATAAATAAGGAAACTACACTAAAAAGAGGCTGTGCCATAGCTCAGGCGGTTAGTCGCCGGCTTCCCACTGTGGCGGCCTGGGTTCGAGCCCAGGTCAGGTCATGTGGGATTTGTGGTGGAGATAGTGACAATGGGGCAGGTTTTCTCCAAGTATTTCGGTTTACCCTGCCAATTCTCATTCCACCCATTCATCACCTATCATTCAGGGCTACTATAATGCAAAAATTGGTGGTCAATGTAAGTTCACTCAGTCTCAACCCAACCCAAAAAATCTACAAAAATATGTCTGTATAATGCTAACAAGTCACTTATAAATGGGAATTAGTACAGTGAACTTTGAAAATATCACATATACCAACTATATACCTACAGGCTGGGAAAAAGAAGGCTACATCAGCAACATAACCTGGCTCACATTTGCACAAATGTGACTCAGAGACCAGAACATGTTATTCTCAAAGTATCTATCAGCCACTGGTTAAACTTGACATGAAATTCTGCTCCAGCCTAAGGTCACACAGTCTCAGCACTTCCTGACTGGATTCTGAACGTAAGGTCACAGTGCCAGCACTCCCATCATAACAAATTTCATGACCTTCCTCAACCCCTCCAGTAAATTCCAGGACAGTACCTGCAGTGCTACAACAGCAACACTCCTTATTTGTATTTGGAGGACAGGGGGGTCTCTCTGTGATTTTCATCAGCCTGTTCTAAGACATGCCAGGATATTACACACAGGTCACTACCACACAATTCAAAATTCTTATTCACTATTCATGATTAATTTTCCACTTATTTTGCCACTAAGAACACTGGAACACTGCTGACAAAATAACCTAAGAATATTCATCATTCCACAGTGGCACCTACAGAAAGGGGTACTTATATATTACCAGGAGACCTAATAACTTTAAAACTTGTCAGTATGTTAGTGCAGGCATTGAAAATCTGTACTTCATCTCCAACAGGTACAAGCAAGAGTTATTTTGCTCTGTTAATTATTTGGAAATGAATGAAACAGAGATATGCCAAGATCTGGAAAAAGAGGCAACCAAGTTTTCAATGATATGAAATTCTGCCTAACGAATGTAAGTGCAAGATGAAACATGAATGTGTGTTGGCAAGTGACTTCAGAATAATCAGCTCTCCTTCATCATGACTGTTCATTTTGTACATGGGCAGACTCATGAGCAAACCTGATTGAAGCAAATTACAGACTCCCTATGCATGTACCAAAATGGTGATAAATTTTGAAGTTATTTGGGTCACCTCTTAATAAGTACCAAAAAAATCATTATAAAGTTATACAAATTACATTCTGAGTGCCAGTTTACTGTAATGCATCACCACCTCTCATGGCTCAAACTCACTCAGCTAGGTGTGCGTGTCTCTGATGGCGGAAGGTTTTCCAGTTTTCTCGATCAAAGTCCTCACTGCGGCGACTTATTCTGTGGGCAATTACCACTATGATCTTAAAATAAAACATAAACTGTATCTAATAGAAGACACAGGGCACCAAAACTATTCTTGAAAACTATCTGCAATGCATTAAAATGTTCTTGGGCAATCACTTGTGTCGATGTCGAATTAAAAAGTAACCTTGGTCGACACTGATGCTGGAAACCGACAGAATCTTTGAAGTGTTACTTTTCAGGTCAACACTGACAAAGCAGATCGCCTAAAAAGCCCTGAAAGCTTCAAATCTTATGTTTCTAAAATGCATTTCACAGCATGTGATTATGAGCTAAAACTTTTATTTTAAACATTTCAATACACAGTAAGAAAGAGATTTGTTGACATAAAAAGGCAAAATATTCAGGAAATGATGAGAGGAAGAAGCTCATTAACAGTTTGATGTACTGGAAGGAGGAATATATAAATGCATAAGGAACAAGAGGAGTGTAATAACAGCAGAAAACTCAAAATGAAAGTTGTTACAAGCAACAATGAGAAGGGGATTTGTTCCATTTGTAGCACACAAGAATTTCTGCCTATACAGATTTCATTTAAACATATTTTAATTACTTACTTATTTACTAATGGAGCTGAGACCTTCTTGAGGAGCCGCCAATTCTGTAGCTACTCATGAATTTCCCAGCATTTTATGGAACCCAAAGGTTCATTACCGTTCACAAGAGCCCTCCACTGGTCCCTATCCTCAGCCAGATCAATCCAATCCAAACCATCCCATCCCATCTCTCACAGATCCATTTTAATATTGTCCACCCACCTATGCCTTGGTCTTCCCAGTGATCTCTTTCCATCTGGCATTCCCACCAATATCCTATACGCATTCCTCATCATCCCCATTCGTGCTACATGCCCTGCCCACCTCATCCTCCTTGACGTGATCATTTTTATTATTCTTGGAGAAGAGTAAAAGTTATGAAGCTCCTAATTATGCAGTTTTCTCCAACCTCCTGTCACTTCATCTCTCTTCAGTCCAAATATTCTCAACACCCTCAGTCTATGTTCCTCCCTTAATGTTAGAGACCAAGTTTCACACCCATACAGAAACACAGGCAAAATTATAGTTCTGTTCATTCTAATTTTTATGTTTTTGGACAGCAGATGACAAGACAAAAGGTTCTGGACTGAATGGCAGCAAGCATTACCAGAGTTCAATCACCTCTTACATTTCTTACTGAATCAGGTTTTGATTTGTTACTGTCATTCCAAAATATGTGAACTGTGCCACATTATCAAAACATCTGTTACCTATGTTTATGTCATGATTTTGTCTTACATTTTGGTGATGAGACATCAACATATACTTAGTTTTTTCTGTGTTTACTTTTAGACCAACCTCCTTACTTGTGTCCATTAAAGTTTGTGTTTTTTTTTGTGGTACCTATATTATCAGCCAGTAGATTCACATCAGCACAGAACAACCACTGATGTGTCCTGTTTAATTTCAGTCCCACCTGGTTTTCCTGGCCCTTCCTAATAGCATATCTAAAGTAAAGCTGAAAAGGACTGACGATAAAGACCATTATTTTAGACCATTCTTGATAGGAAATTTATCAGACAAATGTTTACCTATATGGACTTTACTAAAAGTTTTGTTTAAACACATTTTAATCAGCCTTACCAGTTCCATGGTTATCCCAAACTCTGTCAGAATACTGTACAATACTTCCCTCCTAACTGAATCATAAGCTTTCTTGAAGTCTATGAATAGCTGATGTACTGTCTCATTGTACTCCCATTTTTTCTCCAATATCTGACAAATGCAAAAGATCTGATATGTAGTTGATATGTTACATTGAAACCCACACTGATGATCCCTAATAATTTCATGTATATACGGACTTAACCTTGAGAGAATACTGGATAAAATTTTGTGTGAAGTTGATAGCAGTGATATCCCCCGATAATTACTACAGTCAGTTTTATCACCCAAACATATTTTAATCAGCAAAACTAATTTCATGGTTGTGCCAATCTTGGTGAAAATATCCTCAACAGAAATACAGAGATATGGGCATGCACCCATGTGCATTTGTATAAGCATACAATAGCCAAATCCAAACAGATACATCGTAAAGTGTGCATTTAGAAAACATGTACTCACTGAAGTACATCTTTCCATCCTTACAATGATCTGTCTTCTTCTGAAGCCATCAACACACACACACATACACATAAGCACAAACACATACACCCATTACTTGGACTTACTCAAAAAGTGATCGTATTTTTTCTGGACAACTAATTAGTAAAAATATTCACATCTTTCTGTGTTTAAATTCTTCACTCTTTGTTACATCCCGTAACCACTTCTATTTACAATAACTTAATTTTAATAAAGTGAAAATTTGATCATCAAATCGATGAAAACTACTGATCAATCCTCACACCATAAGCTTTCTTTTCCATGGCACTGCATATATAATGAGATTTATTATCTCTTGACATCTGGCAAGAATGAATGACGAGGCTCCATGGCACTGCTAATTTGTCACTGTACACAGCAAGCAGCGGCATTTGCACACTCACAGAACCGACTACATAGGAATCAAATTGAACTGAAGCACTCAACAACACCTCATTTTCTGTCGGAGCTGTTGGGCAATTTGTTTTATTGCAACCTAATGGCAGCTCACATTGATCATTTATTACTATTACATTAGTATTACATTTATTACTATTACATTTAGTAAATTACAAAAGCAGTGTCAAAATTAATGGGCTGTGCATTCTAAGTGATAATCACGAGTAGATTTATACTGGAACACCCACTTGCTGTCGGGTATGTAAGCTGTCGTAGCATAAGATAGGCATGATCTACTCTGCAAAGCCTGTACTGACAGAGAACTTATTTGTAGTGCTAAAGGATTTTCAATAACATGCTATATGTGTGAAATGTACAACTGATGAAAGGCCAAGCATATTCAAAAGAGACAAACCCATCTTCTCATCAGAGAGGATGTTACATAAGGACTATCACTGCAAGAATTCAGTTGGGGGAAAAAAAATCTCTGGTTGTGGGTCTCAAGGGGCTTGATGCTAAAACAAACTGATTGGCATTGAACCACCAGTTGTAAACTAACTCTGCCTTTGACTGTCAGGTATGAAAACCTACATCAGCCAGTTCTGCATGGTAAAGGATAATATAGCTTCTTTTCCCTACTAGAAACTTGAGCTCAACTGTAGTAGAAATCTGCCAAATCTAGTTTGCTATGTGGTTCTGATGTATCCAGGTTTCATCCATGTAAAACACTGATCAGTTAGCACCAAACTCCACATAATGAGGCACTGTTGGGAAAAAAAAACTTCAATCTTGCTGCAATGTCACCTTACTTGGTGAAAAATTTAGTAACTGGAAGCCTAGATGCTTCAGTAGTCCCACAGTGAAGAAAACTGAACCATTATACAGAATTTTTTTTCCCTTACAGCAACAGGAAGTAGGGAATTCACTGTGTCATAACATTCAAAAACATCTTTTTGGAAGACTAGGTCTGTCACTCTTTATGGATTGTTTGTGTGTTTTCTGGGCAACCAAAACAACTTCTCCATATACGTTTCCCTTATTTGCCTCCCTGCAAATGGCCAAAACAGTCAACTTGCTTAAACAACAGTTTTTGGCTGTTAGGTCTTGGCACTTAGAGAAATCCAGCCGTTGTTTTTCAAACACATATTCTTTTACACATATTAAAAAAACTCCATGGTCTGTAGTCCACAAGCAAACTACACTGTTCAAGCGACCGCTGCTTGTCGGTGAAGTTAGTGCCAACTTTTGAGGATAGAGGGCGTCACCTGGTCAGCACAACAGATCCCCAAGGCCGTTAATCTTGGTTTTCTAGACCCGAGCAGCTATATCCTTGAAACAGCTCCTCAATAATCCTCACGAGGTTGAGGGGACCCTGTTCCAGACCCACTACTTCTCAGAAGGTGGAGGTGAGTGGTCAGTTTCACACCCTTGCCGCTTTACCCCCAGGAAAAAGCCCCGGTACCCATTGCATAGGATGCTGGGTGGGCCCAGAGCAGGTCTGCACATGGAGAAATTTTTTGACCATACGGGACTTGAGCTTCGACCCCTCCATTGTCCAGCCCGTGGCCAGTCCCAATACCAGCTAATACTATCCTGGCTCCACAAAGTATGGATAAGATAAATGAAGACCAAAAGAAAAACACACTCACTTTTGATCCAAGTAATGTAATTTATATTACTCTTGTCCAAGTATAATTAGAATGATCAAGAAGAGGATGAGATGGGCAGGGTATGTATCACGAAGAGGAATGCATATAGGATATTGGTTAGAAAGCAAGAAGGAAACAGACCATTGGGAAGACCAAGATGTAGGTGGGTGGATAATATTAAAATGTATCTTAGAGAGATACGATGGGATGGTATGGATTAAATTGATCTGGCTCAGGATATGGCCCAGTGGTGCGCTCTTGTGACCATGGTAATGAACCTTTGGGTTCCATAAAATACTGGGAAGTTCTTGAGTAGCTGCACAACTGGCAGCTTCTCAGGAAGGGCTCAGCTCCATAAGTGAGCAAGTGAATGAAGTAAGAACAGTGTTTCAACAATGAAGCATGGTATAACAAAAGAAGCATCCATTGTTTCTGGTCCTGTTTGAAACATGTTACTGTAATCATATCAGTGCAGACTTGCATCATTCGCTTCTCACTGTCTACAAAAAAAAAACTCTTTCAACATTATTCTGACACAGCAAAAGCACAAAAGTTGTACAAAAATAAAAAATACACATATTAAAATAGAATATATGAATCACAAATGGCTAAATTAAGGGCTACAGGTTTTCACCTCACATAACCATGTATCAACAACACATTCAAAAAGAGAAAACCCAGGAACCACAAATCACTATTCATGACATACACCATTTCATAACTCCGATCCTTTTGATAGGTTATGATTACCTGCACACCAAAGAGGATATTATATTCCTTTCTATTCTATTAAACTGGTTGATCTCGCAGCAACATTCTAGGGATCTATTTGGTAGGTGCTCAATTTGAAGCTCAGTCAGGCCATTGCCTATCCTGAGGGTTTTCATTGTCTTTCTTAGGCCCTCCCTGGCAAATGCTAGAAGAGTGTCTTGATGAAACCACGATCACTTTTCCCAGATCCTTCCCAATTCAGCAATCATCCTATCATCTAGCCTCAATACTGACAGAAGTGAATAATCAACTATGCTCCATTCTATTCAAGTCTTCAAATGTGACCGGTTCTTTATGTACTCTGTGGGTAAAGTTGTCCCTGTGCTTAACTAATTAAGCACTATACCATGAAGGTGTATGGGGGAGTGGATGTATAGATAAACGTTTTCTTGATCTCGGCACTGGTTGGAAGTGAGTGGTCAGCTTCGTGCCCAAGGGGAAAGAGCCTCTGGTACCCATTGGATAGGATGCTGGGTGCACCCGAGAGGCGGTCTGGACAATGTGGAGAAGAGAAAATTCTTGATCCTACTGGTTGACCAGCCCATAGCCAGTCTTTACGACTACACTAACCTGGCTCTTATTTACTCTGAGATTAATCCATTTTGAACATCCACCACAAAAAGATCTAAATTATGACAGGTTGCGGAAGCTAAGAAGAGTTTTCTAATACTTCAGTAACAGCCACTCCGCACTGCAGTACCCAAAAGAAATTTTTTCTGAGAACAATACAATTATGTCCTTTTGGGTAAGAGGACCTTTGACAGTACATCCTAAAAATACACATTCTTATGTATCGAACATGATATTTAGTCTTCTACTGACTATTCATTCAATGATAAGATTTTGGAGAACTTGCACTCAATTTTATACAGCATATATCAATGGAACCCGCTAAAAATATGTGTAATTCTTAAAAATAATGTATGTGGTCCACTACTGTACCTCACCATGGTTGGACATAAACACAAAGAACACTATCAGCTGACTGATCACAAGAACAATTACGTAATGATTCGCGGTAATGAGCTGCACATTTATAATGGCAGCAGACTCTGTTTACCATTTATGCATTATTCACTGTACAGATAAACAAATCAAAGCTCTGTTCTAGGGACGAAACAGCAGTGAGGATAACATATTCATATCAAGGGGGCAGCAGGGAGCTGACTGTTGCTTCAGTCTACCTTCCATACGACTCGGATGAACCACCACCAACCAAGGAAATGAGGGACATCATAGACTACTGCTATAGCAGGAAAAGGAAACTCATCATTGGATGTGATGCCAACGCGCACCACATCTTGTGGGGGAGCACCGACACTAACCCAAGGGGAGAGAGCCTTATGGAATTTCTGGTGAGTTCGAACCTGAATATTCTAAACCATGGTAACAAACCTACCTTTGTGGTTTGCAATAGGAAGGCGGTTATTGATTTGACACTAGGAACAAATAACATAGGAAACCTGGTAAGTAATTTGCATGTATCTGATCAGCTGTCTTTATCAGACCACAGATACATATGCTTTCAAATAGGTAACATAACAACACAACAAGTTACCTTCAGGAATCCCAGAACCAATTGGGAGTCATACAAGGACGACCTAAAGGTGAACCTGGAGATTATTTCACGAAGCATATGCACGATAAGGGACATGGATCGATCTCTTGACCAGTTGCAATGGGCCGTCATCTTATCCTATTATCATAATTGTCCAGCCAAGACGACTCGCTTACCAAAGAATGCATCTTGGTGGAATAAAAAGCTGTGTGTGCTAAGAGTTAAAACAAGAAAGCTACTTAAAATAGCAAAATGGACAGGGCAGTGGGACACACCTACAAGGAATCCCTCACCTGTTACAATAGAGATAAGGAGAGCCAAACAATCCTCATGGAGGAGGTTCTGCCAGGAGATCAATGATGTACCCGGCAGTACCAGACTAATGAGGGTCATGGCAAAACAAGTGACCAATAAGGTCAGCTCTATCAAGCTGCCTGATGGCACGTATAACCAAACTGGACAAGGAACATTGAAGGAACTGTTCAGAGTTCAATTCCCAAATTCAAAGTTGATTGATGATTCAGGTGATGAGTGGGGCCAGCAGAACCTGGACGTATGTGGACACATAATGAACAAGGGAGACTGGAACCTAGCTGGTAAGATAATCAGTCAATCAAACATCAGATCGGTGTTACGTACCTTCATACCATTTAAGTCTGCAGGAGCAAACGGTATTGTACCGGCACTTCTGCAGAAAGGGGAAATACATTTAGTCCCACACCTATGCCTCATATTTAGAGCCTGCATGGCACATGCAGCCTGGAGGCAAGTTAAAGTGACATTTATTCTGAGGCCCGGGAAACTTGATTATACCAAGGCTAAAGCTTATCGTCCTATTAGCCTGTCATCTTTCCTCTTGAAAACGATGCAGAAAGTGGTAGACAGACATATTAAGGACAGTGCACTGAAAATTCATTCTCTGCACCCAAACCAACATGCTTACCAAATATGTAAATCTACTGAAACTGCATTGCATAATGTAGTAACACACAGAGAGAATGCTATTGAACACAAGGATATTGCCCTTGGAGCATTCCTTGATGTAGAGGGAGCCTTCGACAGAACCTCCTTTGATACAATAAAACAGGCTGCTGAAAGGCATAGCATTGAGCCCACAATATGCAGATGGAACTGTGCCATGCTGGAAAGCAGGAATATAAGCGCTACATTGTCTGGAGTCTCTCTGAGAGCGTCTGCGGCGAGAGGGCATTCTTTCCCTTCTCCTGTGGAGCCTGGTCATGGATGATCTTTGGGAGCTCAACAGTACAGGCCACTTTACAGTAGGATATGCCAATGATATAGCAATCCTAATTAATAGGAAATTCCCACACACTGTATCAGAGGACTTACAAACAGCCCTGTATACAGCTCAAGAGTACGGGCCACTTCACAGTAGGATATGCCGATGATATAGCAATCCTAATTAATGGGAAATTCCTGCACACTGTATCAGAGGTCTTACAAACAGCCCTGCACACAGTTCAACAGTGGTGCGAAAGGACCCACTTGTCTATCAATCCAAACAAGATGGTGACTGTACCCTTTACTAGGAAGAGGGATATAAAGGGGCTCAAAGAACCAATCCTCTTCAGTAAAGTGACCCAGCTATCCAGTGAAGTCAAGTACATTGGATTAACATTAGACAAGGGGCTGACATGGAAACAGGGGCTGGATAAGGCTATTAACAAGGCCTATAAAGCTTTCTGGACATGCAGAGGCATGTTTGGGAAGATTTGGGGACTGACACCAAAGGTGGTAATTGGATATACACTGCTGTAGTAAGACCCATAATCACCTATGCCACCGCTATATGGTGGCCTAGAGTCAAACTCAAAACAAGTTAGGCAGAACTTAGAAAACTGCAAAGAACAGCCTGCTTGGGAATTATGGGAGCAATGAGCACAGCTCGAACACCTGCAATGGAAATCCTACTAGGACTCCCTTCACTGCATTTGCAGATGGAAGCAGAGGCCAAGTTAGGAAAGTACAGATTACGTTGCAATGATCAATGGAGACCTAATTCCGAAGGTTTTAAACAAATGCATACACGATTCAGGACATGAAAAAAGAACCCATCCTACAGATGGGATCTGATAAAATGCTACCAAAACATGTTTATGATAGACCCTTCATGATCAGATTTCCTGATAGAAGTGAATGGAAATGGGGTTTCAACCCTATAGAAAGGGGGGACTAATCTGGTATACAGATGATTCAAAGACAAACAAAGGCACTGAAGCTGGAGTGTACTGTGATGGAACGAGGCGGAAGCATACCTTCAGCCTCGGTCAGAACACAACAGTATTCCAGGCAGAGCTGTATGCCATTAAGGCATTCACAGTTGAGAATTTAGATAGAATCCATAGAAATAGAACATCTACATCCTATCAGACAGTCAAGCTGCAATTAAAGCACTTGGTAAACACCAAATCACTTCAAAATTGGTTTGGGACTGCCACCAATTCCTCATACGACTGGCCAGACATAACAGAGTACAACTGATATGGTTGCCAGGTCATGAAGGTATTGTAGGGAATGAAACTGCAGATCAACTGGCAAGAACAGGATCTGAACAGCCGTTCATAGGACCTGAACCAGCTTGTGGCATCTCAATTGGAGTTGCCAAAAAAGCAATCAGGGACTGGACTGATAGAAATCATAAAAAATACTGGGAATTTATAATTGGACTCAGACTGGCAAAGGTTTCATAGCAGGATTCTCTGCCAGAAGAATGAAGGATCTGTTGAGATTAAACAGAGATCAACTAATATGGGTGGTAGGATTACTTACCAGACACTACCACCTGAAAGGACACCTTTTCAAGTTGGGACTGACAGATAACCCAACTTGTGAAACGTGCCCACAAGAAAACGAATCAGCTGCATACATCCTGTGCGATTGTGAGGCCATAGCTTATTTAAGATTGTCACTTGAGTCAATTTTTCACGAAACCAAGTGACTTTTATGATGGCCCCATAAGCAGGGTCCTACACTTTATTAAAAGTGTAGGATTAATTAAGGGTTAATCGGGGGAAACACAATAGATCATTGAAGGTCGTAGTGCGGGGGGGGGGGGTTTTTATGGCCCACCCCTTACATACATACATAAACAAATCATAAACAGAATGCCACGACTGTCAGACAAACCATTATAAATACTCCAAATAGACCACAGCAATCAAAACAGGTACAGTACTTGAAAAAAATAAGTTCTAACTCACTTGGAATAGCCTTTCCACTTGAGCAAGTATTCTACTCTGCCATTTCGAATCCTCCTGTCCAGAACCTTCTCCACTGAATATTCTTCCTCTCCTTCTTCGCCTTCTGCCCCTGGTGTTGCATCTTTGTCCTTTGTCTTGCGACTCATACTGCTCGGGCCTTCCACTAACACGATATATTTAAATTACTTTACATACATGGGTTAAATACTATTTAATATACAATTCAAACCACAAAATACAAAAGTAATTCAAGCATTCCACTTAACTGTTTACAACATTCAACTTACATTTTGACATTATGGTGAGGTTGGTACTGTATCAACACAGATCTGATACAATGTTATGTAATCAAAGTCACTCAGCAATACAAGGAATTATCAAGTAATCTATTGCTTATTTACAGCGTCTGCAAAATAAAAGAACAGTTCCTTTTAAAGCTCTACATGCTTTTAAATTGCTGTTAAAAGTATGAACATTTAATTACGGCATTACTGATATTTGTTTTAAATTACTAAAAATCGTATGCCAGTAAAGACATCAAAAATGTCGATAATGTGCTTCCGTAGTGCAGTGTAAGATCTGGGGATGGGGCCACCTATGTAACAAGGGGTGGGTGCAGGACGGTGCCTACATATACCAGAATTTAACGAAGGTCCATTCGTTTTGTGAAACATCAATGGATATTTGGAAATACAAGTTTACCACATTTACAATACATGTCTTCCTGGCTGCAAAATGCCCATGCAGTTAACACAATAAAATTCGGGGTTTTCAACAGAAGAATTTTGGAAATTGAATCGTCTGAGGCCCAAAGAACACACATACGTCTTTCATGTTCAACAGTCAGATCCGAAAATATTCTTCTTCGTAACATAGCCAGCTGCTTAGTTGTGAGTGATAAATACACACACAGACTGTATTCTGTTCATACCTGCCAGAAGTGCCGTGCTACATAACACCTAACATACGATAACAACCAATGAAACAAGAAACGCTTCGACGCTCCTCATTGCCTAAGTCCTTGGCGGCTTGGCGGGCTCGGAATGCCGGGTAATAAGATAAGCTGTTTGCCTCTGAAGAGCTATAATATTTCCCTTCAATATTCCCAATATAATCTAATGACCATAGTTAAATTGCCATATAGTTAACATTGAAACATAAATTAAATTTCGCAATCCAAGGAAGCATTTTGATACCAAGTATAAACGTGAAACATAATGATCGATAATGATGTTCAATATAGGGTGCAAATGGAGGGAAATTTCATATTAGACTTAATGGCGTAAAGGCAAAGTTATCCCTGGCTTATGTAGTTCAGCATCACACAAATGGGAGTAGAAGTGTAGCTCCACCTTTCTTGACTTCTTGACGTTCTTTGACCTCGACACTGGTTGGAGTTGAGTGGTCACACCTCTACCGCGGATAGAGCCACCGGTACTATTAGGATAAGAGGCTGAGTGGGCCTCCAGCCGATAGCCCGTCCATACTTGTGTTTAAATTGAAATGACACAGGAAAAGAATGGTCATAAAGGCACACTTGAGCAGAGGTACATAGAACAATCTGCGGAAACAGTTGAACAGTAGAATTACAGCACGGATCTGGAAAACTCGCAGACACATCAAAGCACATATCTTTAGCCTATGGAACTATGGAACATATCTCAGATATGTACTTATGAAATCAAAAGTTTGTCAGAATTCGTAGTAAATACAATTTATAGTATTATTAATCAGAATATTAGCTTGACAATGTATAGAATGATGTAATCTAACGACGTCAGAGCATGAGAATAATTGTAAGAATTATACTACACTACACTACACATAGTCTTTTATTTGATATCAGCCGTCTATTTAACTACGTTGGCAAATACTGTGTTGACCGGTGTTGACTGTGTTGAATGTTAATGTTTGTCAGAGGTGGTTTTTAAGTGATATACGATGAGCGCATTCAGACGAGACAAAAAGGAAGAAGAAGAGGGTACATTAATATCAGTAAACAGTTTTCTACATTTGATTTGATGCCAGATATTTATGTTTTGAAAGAAAATTTATCAATTTTGTCCAGCAATTACTGTTCAGGCTTGTAGCTCTCCACATTGTAGCAAAATGTGGGTGATTTTTTTTTTCTAAAGGGTTAGATATGAGGGTTCGTGTCAATACGACGTTTACCGACGTCATTTGTGTCAGTTACAAACGTTCACATAGGTTTCGCTCTTCAGATGCTTTTGTTACGATGTTCATATATTGACATTGATATTGTTTATTAATATAGTTGATTTGTGTATTTTACTATTTTTGGTTAAATAAAGCCTGTTAGATTATGTTTAGGGTATACAGGGTGATTCACGAAGTTTTACCCCACTTAGGGAGGGCATTCCTGAGGTAATTTGGAACAAAAAATGTTAATATACTAATGGTATCCAACTCATCATTAAAGAGATACAGTAATTTGAAAACTGGCGAAAAATCTTTTTTTCTTCGAATTTCAGTCAAAACAAATTAGAAATACAATACAAACACTTTTTAAATCGTTAATGTTTTAGGAAAGAAGCATTCTAAAACCAATTTTTTTTTTCAATTTCTTAATTTTGCATTGTGCAACATTTTTCGTCGATTTTGTGTTACAAAATTACATTATTTTCAGCATCCAATTCTGTAAACATACCAATGGCAGCCAAGTTTCATAATGTAGATCCCATTTCAGGATAGAATTTTATGACATGAAAACCAAGAGAGACAGCCAGGCAATGGTAACCTAAACACATTTCTGGAGCAGTAAATCACCATGCAACAAGATAGGAACTGTTGAAGAGTAAGCACAGTGACAGAGAAACCATTGGAACAATGTTTTCTGTGTGGTCCAGTTAAAGAAGGACACCAAAAGAAGATATATCCAATAACCTTGTGGACTTATATTTTAACATAATCAATGTGAAACAAATGATGGCCACTTGAACAGTACACAACAGGCAAACCCACCTCTAAACTGTCGCTTTATTCTTTGTTTCCTTAACAGGAAATAAAAATCTCAGAGATATTCAAGCTGAATAGCCTTAACGATATTATCATGAAGGTAAGAGTTATACAGAGCTCAGACTGCCCTTACACAGTGCAACAATTGCAAAAGATTTGGCCATATCTGGGGCCAACTGTGAGCAACCCCTGGATGTTTATGGTGTGGTGGTGTCTACTTGCATAGGGGATGCCCTGAAAAGACAAATACAGATTCAATTCTGAGCTGCTGAATTTGCACCCTAATAGAAGGATAGAAACCTCATCCAGTGTTATATCAAAGCTGCAGCCACATGAAAGGAGAACTGCAAGGGAGAGGAGCCCAACAAGCTCTCAAGGTATACTGTGGGGGGACGTTCTTCTCTAAGTTCATTTCACCAGAGCGGTCGTACCTTGCTGGTGTACCATGTCAAGACAGGCAACACCAGCCATATGGAGAAAGCTTGTGGACCTCCATGCAGCAGCATCTGCGAAATCAGGCCAGTCAGTACAGGCTCCCAGTTCGACTAACAGTGACACGTTAAAAATTGTCACTGTAGTGCAACAGATCATGACAGAGCTCAGTGAAGCTGTGTCAGAAAAAGACAAGATAATATTTGTTACAAAAATGGTACTTAATGAAACAAAATGGCTGCTAGAGTTTATTTTCTGCTCACAGTCAAAGCATTTAATGCAAATGTCATTTGGAGGCAGTACTGTGAGCTCAGTAAACAGCTGCAAGACTTACATATAGATGTGGCTCTGCTCTCAGAGACACATGTCAAACCCCATGAGGTGCTTCATTCCAGATTATCACTTTTGTTGGACTGACCACATAAAGACACAGAAAACTAAGTATATGTTGCTGTCTCATCACCAAAATGTAAGACAAAATCATGACATAAAGATAGGTAACAGATGTTTTGATAATGTGGCACAGTTCACATATTTTGGAATGACAATAACAAATCAAAACTTGTTTCGGGAGGAAATTAAGAGGAGATTGAACTTGGGTAATGCTTGCTACCGTTCAGCCCAGAACTTTTGTCTTCTTGTCTGCTGCCCCAAAACATAACAATTATAATATACAAAACTATAATGTTGCCTGTGGTTCTGTATGGGTTGTGAAACTTGGTCCCTGACATTGAGGGAGGAACATAGACTGAGGGTGCTTAAGAACAGTGTGTTGAGGAGAATATTTGGACCAAAGAGAGATGAAATGACAGGAGGTTGGAGAAAACTGCATAATGAGGAGCTTCATAACTTGTACTCTTCTCCAAGAGTAATTAGAATGATCAAGTCAAGGAGGAGGTGGGCAGGGGATGTAGCACGAATGAGGGAGAAGAGGAATGCATATAGGATATTGGTGGGAAAGCCAGAAGGAAAGAGACCACTGGGAAGACCAAGGCATAGGTGGGTGAACAATGTTAAAATGGATCTTAGAGAGGGAGAGATGCGATTTTATGGATTAGATTGATCTGGCTCAGGATAGGAACCAGTGGAGGGCTCTTGTGAACATGGTAATGAACCTTTGTGTTCCTTAAAATGCTGGGAAATTCTTGAGTAGCAGAACAGTTGGCAGCTTCTCAAGAAGGGCTCAGTTCCATGAGTGAGTGACTGACTGACTGACTGACTGACTGACCGACCGACCGACCGACCGACCATTTCCCAGGAAGAAAAGGCATTCCCAATAACCATGTAGACGTATTCTAAATGTGTGATATGTACACTTGACAAAGGCAAAGCCTGTTCATAAAAGGGAAACCCATCCTCTCATCCGAGAAGATGATTAGTAAGGACTGTGATAGTAAAGGTTCAGTTGCAAAGAAAACATTTCTGTTCATGATCCTCAAGGGACATGGCACCAAGGCAAACTGATTGGCAGTAAACCTTCACTCATAAAGTAACTCCGACTCTGACGTTGAAACCCTCTGTATATTTTTGGTAAATGTTACTTAGCATAGTGCAGTTAGAAATGGGGCACTGTGACAGCATGGATATCCTACTGCTGAAACTGCAGTGCAACAGACTTCAGAAATACACAGAATGACTAACCCCTCCCCTTGTTGAAGGGGAAGGCCCATTTCTTAAACATGTACATGTGTTAGGAGAGAGCAAAATTCTTGGTCCTAGATCTTGATGAGACCCAAAGTACAAATATTATGTTTTTGGACATTATCCATCATCTTGTCTTTGTCTAAAAACTATCTCGTCTATTTTTCAAAACAACATTTTGGAGACTGGATTCTGTCTCCGTCTTCAGGTAAAGCCCACTCAGTTGAGCGTAATCAACAGAGCTAGACCCTATCTCTGGATGAAGCTAAAAGTCACTGTGCTGGTGAGAGTCGGTAGCAGGTTAACCAACTGGACATGAGTGAGTTGCCACTGAGAGTCCGTTATCAGTAGGTGGTCACAGTTTGTAGTCATGAGCAGCTGAGTATGGAAGCAAAGGAATTTTTATTGTGAGGAGCCAACACATGAGCAGGCTGGAGGGACTTGGAATGTGCATTGTTGCATGTTGATTCATTGCCCCAGAAATGTGTCTAGGTTTGCTGTTACAGAGCAGTGGCTGTCTCTTCTGGCTCTCATAGCACATTATTTTAATAGTTGGGTCTTGAAGGTAAATAAACGTTTTTGAAAATGTTCTTAATCATTTTTAAATTATGTGGAAAAATATGAAGAAAGTAACAACATATGAGTAATTTAATTAAATCAGAATATCAAGTTAGAATTTCAAAGGGAAAGATTAATATTGGTAGTATCACATGTTATCAGAGATATTTAAACTAGGTCACTTCCAATTGTGTGTTAAAATTTTATATCAAAGTTGACCTAATCCTCCCAGGGGTTTACTCAACCTCTAACAGAAATGAGTACCAGGAATTAATTAAATAATTTTCCTGGGGAATAAAGTGCGGCCGGCGCGTAAGGCTGACAACCTTACCGCCATCTTTGAGCCGATTGTCTAGATAATGTGGGAGCCTCAACATCTCACAACCCTATGGGCCTTCACGGCCTGGTACAGGGATAGCTTTACTTTTTTTTATGTATACTACAAGCAAAACATGTTTGAAACATCTGTAAATTATGTAATCAATTGATGCAAGAATTGTGAGTTTAGTATAAATAATCATGACATCTTTACAGGGTGAGATACATAAAGACCAGCAAACTACAAAGATCTGAGTGAAGTTGTTACTCATTTTAAAATAAATAATAAAATTAACTGGCACTGGCAGGCACATTTTTGTAACTACCACAGGCAGTTCCTATTTGTGTAAGATCTTAGGTTCTCACAGCAGTGAATATCATGGTCACAGTTTTTGGGATGCGATACCATTACGTTTGATAGACAGGTATGGAATCCCAGAAAACTGCAATCTTGGTTATGCATGTATATTATTCAGATGGCACCATCACCAGCTTGCTCGATTCCAGTTGTTTCTGATAATATAGGTTTAAATTTGTTTTCAGGAAGTGGAAATCCTTTCCAGAACATTGAGAAAACTACTGTACTACAAGAAACTCGTACTTTCAATGATACTCCTGTGAATCCAAGAAAATGTACACACATTCTTACAAAAATTTTGTATCTCTTGAACCAGGTAAAGCTTAAGAATATTGGTAATATTGCATACAGTTGCTGTATAGACAAAAGAAGTATTAGCAAGTCATTGATCAGCAGATTTATCACATTAATGTGTGCTGTAACAAACAAGAGTGAAATTTTATGCCTTAAACAATATGTTGTAATTTGATCAGTTCTCTACAAATGCATTTTGTAGATTTTGTTTAATGTAGGAGGGAGAGTCAGTAAATAGGTCACAAATGGAAGCAAAACAGCTGTAATGGACATACTAGGTTTTTTATGTTTATCACTAGGTAGTACAGTCCATCTTCATGACAGTCTTTGCTCTTAAGACTAGAAGATATAAGAATTGTGCAAGGCATGTGTTACTTTATAAACATATTTCCTAAATTTATTTAAAAAAAGAAAAAGAAGTATATGTACAAAATATTAATAGCATATTCTTAGAGTTAAGAGAGAGATCTAAAACTGTTGGGTGACCAATATGATAGAATAAGATGTTTACAAGAATGTGCTACAGAGGGCCAGATGGGCATTGTGTGGGCCATTTTTGTATACAAATTAATTTTTTTTAAAAATAAAAGAAACACTCTAGGTAGCAGACATGCATGCGCATGTTCAGAGTCTGTTTTCAGTAGTTAAAATGGCAACCATGCTTAATGTGAGTACTACCAAAGAGCAGCATTCTGTTGTGAATTTTTGTGGGCAAAAGACTCAGTGCAAAGTACGTGGGGCAATCCAAAAGTTTCCGAAATTTGAATTTTGCGCGCGAATCATTATGAGTACATCGAAATACCGCTAGGTGTCTCCTCTCACATCCTTCTTGAATCAGTGTGGCAAGCGGCGTCGAGTTGAGTGGTTGGGTTTATTGTTGGTGAACGTATTTCCATTGTTGTGTTTCCGTGAATTTGCAGTTTTGCGATGGCTGACCTGAGAGAGCAGCGTGTCTGTATAAAGTTTTGTTTCAAACTTGGGAAAACTGCTGCAGGAACACACCAAATGTTGAAGCAAGCTTTTGGTGAAAACAGTTTAGGCCAGACACAAACTTACAACTGGTATAAGCATTTTAAAAATGGCCAAACATTGACTGATGATGACGATCGTTCGGGACAGCCGTCAACAGGCAAAACACCAGAAAATGTTGCGAAAGTTAGGGATCTGATAAGCGGCCTCCGTAGTCTAGAGGTAATGTTCCTACCTCATGACTTGTACTACGCGGGTTCAAATACCCGGCGGAGGTCGTCGAATTTTTAAGGGCGGAAAAATTCAGGGAACAAGTCCTCCGGGAGGGACTTTAAGCCATGGGTCTCGTGTCATAGCTTTACGGCACATAAAAGAACCTCATATCTCCAAAGGAGGTCACTGAGCCAAATTAACGGACGTTTCCCGCCCAACAGCAGTCTCTAATACCTCTGGTAGATGGGGAAGCATTATAGATACCTCTCAGCTAGT